TCCAGTCTTTGGAGGCCTAGCGGCCCGTCTCATGTTAGTATCCGGAATCAGCACATTCGATTACCTATTGTTCACTAAGTTTTAAGCTAGAAGCGATTTATCACTTGGTGTCCTTTCCTCGTTAGTCCTTCGAAGGCCCGGTTTTTCAGAAACTCTAAAATACCCGAACCTTTCTTAATGAGACATGATTGTAACCCGCAAATTTCTGAATAAAATGAGACATCTTCCAGCTCTACACGACCTTTCTTTGCAAAGTTATAGAATTTACAAGAAAAGCCCTAAATATTCATTGTCAACTCAAAACTACAGAAATAAGAAATTAATTTAGGGCTTTTTGTGTAAATTTCTATAACTTTGCAAAGAAAGATCGTGTAGAGCTGGAAGATGTCTCATTTTATTCAGAAATTTTGCAGGCTAAAAGCATGCCTTTTTTAAGATAGGTTCTGGTTATGGGCTGAGGGCCACTATCATGGTCTTATTCGTAATCAGCATGGTCGATAATCTATAACCCACTAGATTCCGAGCAAAAAGGCGTTTTATCGCCTCGAGAGGTTCCCTCTTAAACAACATGTACCATAATTAAACAATTTTTTTCATGAAAAACCAAATGTTTGATAGATCTACCTAGAATTGAAAAGAACTAAAAGTTATACCGCAACATCTTATTGACAGAATTATGATTTATTTAGTTAAACGTGGAGGTGTGATTAATGAACAATTCTTGCCTACTATTTTAAAATGTTGGAGAAAAACTGATTATATAATGATCATATTCATTATTATCTATCAAATTATTTTTGATCTTTACAGAACATCCAGTTTTATTTATCATTAATGTTGTTTGTTATTTCCACAATATTGTGTAATGTGAATCTCAAAATTATTCGGTGTGATGATTATTGACTACTTTGCACTTGACTTCTATTCGTCGTCTTTTAATCTGATACTTTTATGATTTTCATTCAAATGATAAATAACTATTTGACAGTTTTATTAAACAATTGTAATCTATTATTACCAACTATTTCACTTAATATCAATCACATAATATTATCAGCAAATCTGAAATATTTGGTTTTACGTCACTTATCAAAGGGCGTATTTTCTATTTTATTGAAATTCATTTTTCTTTTTTCTTTCTCAAATAGAATAACAACAAAAAAAAGAAGAATATAATAAACAAACAAACAAAAGCAAAAAAAGTTGCTGTGTGTGATGAATTGAACGAAAAAACGGAAAAGAAGACTTTTTATTTAATTATGTCTGCATATATATATAAAAAAAAAGAAAAAGAAAAAGAAAAAGAAAAACGACGACGACGACGACAACAGGGGGGCAAAATAAATCGTGCACACACACACGTCGCATCACTGTGTCACACCATCCATCCACAAAAACAAAAGAGTGAAAGTACTAATATACAGTAAAAATAATGAAAATTAAATTAATAATAACAGACCACCAAAAATGATATAAATTAACTTTTCAGGTATTACCAGTGTTAGTATTACCATTTGGTTTTGAATTGCGTGCAGCACGATATTTTTGAACGTAGGCTTCAATCATTTTTGTAATACGAACAGGATCAACTTCAAATTCAGCATTTGTTGCCTAAAATATTAAACAAATAAACTTAAATATGTTTTATCTAGAGTATAAAAGTTCAATCATACTTTTGTGACAACTTTTTTCATAATTTCTTTATATTCATCTTTAGTTATTTCTTGTTTTCGAAATGCTGGTTTCAATGCTTCTTTGGCTATAGTAGCAATTTCTGCTTGACGTTGTTCTTTCTGTTTTCTCTGAAAAAACAAAACAAAACAAATATTATTATCAAAAATTCAATTAATTTTTATCACTTACCCGTTCAATTCTTTCCAAATGTTTAGCTGATGACGGTACATTATCCGGTGTATCATCAAAAAAAGCTGTTGTCTGATGTTGAACGGGATCATGTGGTACTAAATAATAATAGAAACAATTAACTAGATTTTTTAAGATGATCATGATTTAATCTACCATTTCCGCTGGCTTGAGATAATAATTTTGTCATTGCTTCAGATAATTTTCCAATCATACTAACACCATCCTCTTTGGGTAGTTGTACAATTGTAGACGCAGTTGTCAATACTGTGGGTAATGGACTCTTATTTGTTATTTGTGGTAATAACGTTGGTAATGGTAATATGGTAGCAGCAGGTGGCGTCTCAACTAGAAATAGAAAGACCGTCAATTATAGAACTTTTTTTCTGATTGAGTTCGAACATATCTGTGAATTAGAAGCCTGTGACACTTACCATTTTGTTGTTGTTGCTGTTGTTGTTGTTGTTGTTGTTGTTGTTGTTGTTGTTGAGTGGTAACCCATTGGGATGTATACTGTTTTGTTTCACTTGTCTGTTTTTTTATCGGATGAAGTTGCTGCTCAGATGGTATTGAATTGTCTACTGTTAATGACTTTGTTTTCTGTTGTGGATGTTGAGTAAAGATTGTTGAAACTAATTGATGAATATCTTGTGGACTTGCACTTTTATCTGATGGTGTCGTATGACGAGACCTTACTGTCGTAGTCGATTCTATATTCTCAGTTGTTAGAGTATTATTAGTGGTTTTTGGTGTTGTAAGTTGAGACGAAGGTTCCGTGGTTCCACCGAGTAATATATTTGAGATACGTTCATCTAAAGATGTACGACGAGGGCTTTGTTCGATTTGCTGATGAGATTTCAACAGATTAGAATCTTTTGGTGGTAGCAATGTATTAGATTGAGCTATAAAATAGAAGAAATTAAATATTTTTATTTCACAAAAATTTCGCAATTCTTACTAGTAGTCTCTGTAGTTGCTGTTTCATTTCGTTTTTTATTATCATCTTTTGGTTTTTTATGATGTTTTAATAGATGTGGTGTGGTATGATTTGTTATTGGCACTTTGTACAATGTATAAGGTTTATTTTTCACTGGAGTTGTTGATGGTATCGATGGCTGTGGTTGTTGTTCTGGTTTCTCATCTATTTTAACAATAGCAGACGTGTTTGGAGTATTAGTACTATTACTATCGGGTATAATTAGACTATCTAAATCAATTTTAACTTTATTTCGTTCTTCTTCCTCTCGTAACATTTCTTCCATTAGAATATCATCAGCAGCAAACATCTTTTTCTCTTTATCTAATTTTTTGTCTTTCTCAATTAATTTAACTTGTTGTTGTAACTGTTTTGGTATTATCGGGACTGGTGGTGGTTGTTGTTGTTGATCAATTCTGGCTGGTATTGTTAATGGTGGACGTAAACGATTTAACAAGACCTGAGATGACTCTTTTGTATTAGACTCTAAAAAGGATACATTTAAACTGTATAAGTGTGAATTTCATAAACATCGGGGGGAATTGTATTTTAGCAAAAAACAGTATTCATTACTCAAGTAACCAAAATTCTATCCCAATGAATCACTGATTGTTAAATAACTCGGTTACCTGTTTCCATGTTTGATGATGAGTCAGTTGTAACAATTTGTATTAGATTACTTCTTTGTCTACCACTCGTGTTAGATGGTGTTGAATTGTTTAAATTTGGATTTTGAATAAATGGTGGTAGGCCCGGCTTTGGTTGTGGCAGTTGCTGCTGATTATTTCCAGGTTCACTCAGATTTTTTAAACGATTATAAATTCGAACACGATCTTCAACAGAAGTTTCATTACTTTTTGGTGTTTCCGTAGTGATTGCTGATTCTTCGACTTGTTGCCCTTCCGAAGTGACTGGAGTAGACACTGCCACAACAGGAACAGGATTAATTTCTTTTGGCGTTATTACTTTTGGCGTTGTTCTTGGTGTATTAAATTGCGCAGAATTATCTTGTGATTGTTGTTGAGTGTAAAGAACAGTTTTCGGTGGACTGGAAAAATTAGATTGTCTATGATGATAGTTGAAAGATGGAGGTTGTTGTATTGAATAATGTTGAGATGGTGGTGGAATATGAACAGCTGGCGGTGGAAGCGATATTGGAGGATATGTGTGAGCTGGCGGTGGTAAATGATGATGATGAGACTAAAATCAAACAATATAGTAATGATTATTATTTATTTTTAATGTTCGTATCATATGATCATAGAAATATGAGTGTAGGACTATTGTCATATGTTTGACTTACTGGTTGAAATCTTTGGGGTGTTCTCGAACGATAAGATGATGAGTTTCGATGTGAAGATGACGACGATTGATAATGACCACGATGAAATGGAGACGATGACCTTTTCGATGGTTGATCGTGATTTGACAAAGTGTCAGAGTTTCGTTTTACTGATCGTTCAATACTTTTATGCTTTTTTAACTTTTTCGGTTTCTTATCACGCTTTTCTTTATCTCCTTTATTGTCTTTCGATGACTTTTTCGATGTTGAACGTGATCTTGATCGATGATGTCGATGATGATGATGTTTCGACTTTTTATGATGAGATTTTTTCGATTTTTTTATAGTAGAAGAAGAATCCGTATTTTCCTCTAATTTTTCAGATTTTTTTAATGAATCAGTTATTGTATCAGTTTCAGTTTTTTTATTGTTCGTTTCTAAATTTGATATCGGACTTTCCTTTCGTAGTGATGATGGTGACGATGGTTTTTTGTTTGGACTAGATGATTTTTCATGTTTCTTGTGCTCAGGTGAATTTGGTCGAAGACGTTTTCGTTGAGATGATGAACGATGACGACGATTAGACGGTGTCCGACTACGAGAACGTCTGGATAGCGATCTAAAAGAATTAAAAATTAGAACAGAGTTGGTATAATTTGAGCCGATTGGATCATGTACAAATTAACTGCTGATATATATATACAATGAGCCATTTTATATGATTTCAAGGTCATTATAAGCATCAGTCGTGAATAAGATTCTTCAATGATAGCTAGCGGATGCATTGAGCACAAGAATGACTATTCGCTACGCTATACCGATTAGACGTTTCACTATTGATTTTTTTCACACTTTCTCTTACTTTTGTACTATTTTAAAGAAAATTGACTTGTTTAAATAACAAAATGATCAGTTTTACGTACTTTTTCTTATCATTATTATAATCGTCTTTTCTTGCGTCTGGCGATCTCTTCTTATGATCTCTGCTACCACGCTGTTTATTATCATAAGATGAACTTCTCCTACGACGTTTTACTGAACGACTTCGTTTTCTGTCACCATGAGAATGTAGACGATCATTTGAGCGTGATTTTTTACGATTTTGTTCAGATGACGAGGATGACGATGATTTAAAATTACTATGTATCGACTCTTGTTTATTCTCTTCTATTTTTCCATTTACTTGTTCTACGATTGGTGGTGAATGTAATCGTTCATTATTATCATTTTTATTATTATCCTCTTGTGTGAGTGTTGCTATATTTTGTTGACTAGATGTTTTTAATGGAAATAAATTTGTTTCAGAATGGTGTTGTATTCTTGAGGCATTTCTCAACGCTTTCATTGACGCTAGAACATGGCGTGCACGACGTTTACTTTTTTCATTATTCACTGTTGTAGTCGAAGGACTGTTACTATTCAAAACATTTGTCATTGATGAAGACGAAGAGGATATTAAAGATGTATCGGATACACTGAATGTCTGAATTGTAGTACGAGATGGTTGAATCAAAAATGGAGTAATTAAAGCTTGTTGTTGCATAGATATATTTGTACTAAAATAATACAAAATAAACTAGTCATTAACGAAATCTGTTTAAAATCAAGAGCTACAGAGACAACTTTTTTCAGTTCATGTTCATAAACAACTAATTGAAGTTAGGCATGCAACGGTTACGATTATTAACCATTAACCATAACCGTAAATAACCAGTCGAACGGTTAACCGTAACCAGGGATGCCAACTAAAAAAAGAGTAAAGGGGGATAGATAAGGGGAACTGTTTTTTCTACCAAGGGAAATGACACAAAACACATTATTTGGCGTGCGATGTCATTGCGAAAATTAAAGGCACGTGAGTATATTCTTTTATTCTGGTTTTTCTAATATTACTATGTCAAAACATATAATTTAAGACGTTTTTTTTATTATACTAAAAACAATAAATGATCAATTTAAACGTAATTTTTTATTTCTGCATACATATTTTTCACTTCCACGAACACTCGTGAGAAGTTCTTTGTTATTTAAAATCAAAGAATGAAAATTAGTACACGTTAAGTTTGTATTCATTCTAATTCTCAATTCTGCGTTCAGTGCTTTTTCTTATGTGAAAATTTCCAAGGGGAAAACAGCTGATTTTTCGATTTAAACGGTTTAAATCTAAAATCGGTAAAAATCATTGAAAGTTCGTGAAAATCAAAAAATCAGCTGTTTCCCCGTTGAAGATTTTACATACGAAAAATTACTAACTGCTCAAGATCTGTTGAACGGTTAACCGTAATCATTGCATACCTAATTGAAGTTGGATTTTTGTCCTTGAACAGACATGAACAACATAATTATCTAATGTAAATCTAGTTCAAAAAAGCTACTTTTTTGTATAGCTGAATGAGTATTGTCAATTTGATCTCATTAACCTACTTTAGTGAGTTATCATTAAAATTTGTTGTGGTTGCATCATCATTCTGATTGGTTTTCATTCCACTATCATTATCCTCATCTCTGTTTTGTATAGTTGTTATTATTTCTTCTTGGATATTTCCATTTTCTGGTGGTAACGGTATCGAAATTAAATCATTCTCTTTCGACATCGTTGATTCTTCTTCATCTTCCGCTGCAAATGGATCATATTCATCGTTTCCACCACTTATCGTGTTTATTTTAACCTGTTGTTGTTGTTGAAATCGATCATTTAATAACAATGATGAATTCACTAGAGATGATGGAAGAAAATCGGGTAACGATGGTGAAGGAAAATGGGATTGTTGCTGATCTGTTGCTGATGATAATGTAACAATATGATTTGAGAGAGGTGGAGGTGGAATAGTTGTTAAATGAATTGGTGGTGGTGGCGGAAAATAAGATTGTGTACCTGTTGTTGGGGAAGATGGATAATCATGACCACCGCCAGCAAATTGTTCTAATCGTACTTGTTTACTTTGTTTAAAATAATCCACTGACGACGATGTTGATGACATTTCGTCTTTCATGTAGATAAGAGAATATAATCTGAAACATTGATATTATAATATGAAACATCAGCCATTCATTACTAAAAAACAAAAGTAAATAATTGCAAAATATCAATGAACTGTTACAATAGTCCATTGTTTTTATCTAAACTCCTATATATATATTTTACTACGCCTCAATAAACCTCAGTATGAATGATTTTTTCTTACATATTACAAAGAAAAGTATGACTAAAAATTTTTCATTAGTTGAAGGTATAAAAAATATTTTCGACATTTTTACACTAATCAGTAGTGTTTTATTTATTCACAGTATAAAGTAATTATGTTTTTCTCATAGAAATACATTTAGTTTCAAAATAAATCAACAATTTAATATGATTTTTTGTCAACATCAAAACTCGTTCATGAACAGAACAATAGTCAAACTAAGTTTGAGTATAGCAATAAGAAAATACATCGTGGAATCGACGATAAACTGGTTCAAATTCTTGCTGCTCTCATATCAGACTTTTACGACTAGCCAATAAATTTTGAAAAATACAATTACACAAATCTCTCAAAAAATGTTCTAAGTATTATCAATTCTCTCATTTCTGTAATTGGGATATCATTTTATTGGGGTATTTTATTGAAAAATATTAGTTTAGTATAAATATTTGTACATCTAAAAGAAGACTGTCATTTTTGAGTTGAATAATTTGTTTCATGAATATATTGTCAATGTATGAATGTTTTATTTTTTGCTTCATAGATAAATTAATTATAGTTTTTTTTTCCATATACAAATAAAGAACAAACTTTAGAGAGAACGATATAACAATGAAAACAATAGAGTGGGAATAGTTTATTTACAATAAAAAAATAATATCAATAATATAAGAATAAAGTAAAATAATAATATATCAACTAAAAGTAATCATTTTTTGTTCTTCTCTATATTGGCTGAAATAAATAAACAAAAACAAACATTAGTAATGAAATTAGACGATGGAATAAAAACAATAAACTACAGAGAAATGCTGAATATATAGACAATACCGCACAAAAGATTAATCCTTTTACTCAAATTCATTCGTAATCCATCTGATAAAAGTGACGGTAGTCGTTGATTTTTTTTATCCAAACAGAAGAATACAAAGTTTGTCTAGCTAACGGTCCACTTTCTAATAAGTGTGATACTTTTTGTCTGGATCACAGGGCTTCGCAGAAATCATATACAGAACTGAGAGGCGTTTCATCTTCGAGAGTAAACATTTTCTTTTTAATTGATGCGAAAGTAAATTTTGACAATCTTCAAACGGGATTTGCACCCTATTTTAGCGATCTTACATCGGTAAATATCGAGCTTTGCTTAGTAATCAATTAGAAGAAAAATGTTTGTTCTCTGCAAATGAAACGTCTCCGAACTCTCTATAAGCCATCGTCATCACAGCATAGTACAATCAGTGTGAAGAAAATATAGCGCACTTACGACGTTAACAATGTCTTACCTATCAGAGCGGATTTTTTTTTCTAATTTATTCCAAAATAAAATCTCTTCTTGTTAAATTCGATCTACTTCGTATAACAGACACACCTAATTATGTAGGACAAATTAATACAAAATGTATGATAACTAAAGAAAACAAGAGAAACATATAATTAGTGTTCATTTCTATGATATTTAAAACGTATGCCTACCCATTTCCCACAATCATCACATAATAACAATAGATTATTTTTTATCATCACTGTTACATATTCTGCATACAATATCCATAATATCATCCATTTCAATCATGTCCAACATTTAATCCATTTAAAAATCACTTTCAACTAAATAGATACAAGTAAATGACATAAGTATAGAGAAGGGTTGATCAGTAAATGACAGAAGTATAGAGAAAGATTGGTAAGTAAGTACGTACTGTATCTGATATTTCATCGTGAATGTTTGATCAAACGAAACTATTTTCGATTAATCAGATCTGATATGAATTATTTTTTCTAAAAAAACGAAAACAACATACGTCGAAGGACGTCACTAACATTAAGAGTAAATAAAAGATTTCTTCTATCAGAGAAAGAGGCCGTTTATAATTCTTACTCTAGACTATCCTTGAATGTATGTTAAACAACATAAATGTTTATAATTTTCTGGTATTTAACTAATTAACATCGTAAGCACAAATAATTGTGTCTTACACACACAGATAAAGAAACAATAAAACAACGACTTTAAATGATACTCTTAGCTGAAGAGAAATTCAAACTACTATTTAGCATTTAAACAAATAAAAGTTGAACAATGATTGATAAAGAATCGAAAAATTAATAAAAAATGTTCAATAAATTGAAAATCCGCGGAGATATACAACCATACCTCTCATTAAATTTAAAAGTACATAACAGAAAAAATATGTTCAAACTGTCAAAAATGCACATTTTCTCCTTCTACAGGCTATGCCACGTGTAATAGCAAAAATAAAAACGAACAGAGACAGACCTCATCAACTTTGCGTTTAATTTAAACCCTGTCTGAAAACGGCTTTGACTCTTCTTTCTTCTTAAATTTCGAAATTGAATAAATACTTATTTATTTTAAATGAACTAGCTTAAGATATGCATAAACTGTTGAATTGCGATTAAGAAAAAGAGCAGTAAAGAATAATATCCGAGTGAGTAACGTGGACAATGCAAAAACAGGATAAGAAACAAAGTTCGAGAGTCAGTCATCTTGTCAAAGCTTTTATTTCAAGAGAGAATGCGTTCTGTGTGTTCAGTAAAGTTTTTTTTGACAAAGTGTATATAATGAAGCTTTATTTCATACTTTATTATCATGTTTGTTTATCAAGCAGAAGAAAACAATCCTGAATCAGTTATTTGTTTTTCTTCTTTAACGTCTTTCAAAAAGGCACTAGTTCAGTATCTTTTACAGTAAAATTCAGCCATGTTTCTAGTCAAAATAAACTTCTGTTAGTTATTTTCTTTAACGTTATTATATTTGTGTTTATTTTCATCGTTTCTTATCTCTATCTTACATAATCTAGTTTCTTTTCCATTTTCCCTATTTCATTTTTGTAGTTTGGCTCGGGTCATTGATACTATAGATCGGGGACCTTTAATGACTCTCACTTTTCGAGAATAAACTAGTCTTAGTCTTAGAAATATATAGTTTTCTAGAAAAAAAATCAGAAGCTTCTCCAAAACAATTAACTAATCTTGAAAGATATAGACAGAAAAAAGATGCCCTGCTCCTATATTTTTACAAAGACATGATTAAATTCACCATTCGTCAGTTATTATTTATCTCTCAAAAAAAGTAATTACGTTAAGGCATCCATTGACAACAAGGAATTTTTTTCCATATTTAACTCATAAAGCAAGATTGGTCAGTTTCGGTGATCCAATTAGATACGACATATGATATATAAAATCTGAATTTATCTTTCTGAATTTCGCTATTTTACCTCAATATGTTTGTCTAGTTTTTTAGATTTCAATTCATTAGGAAGCATTATGGATGTGTAATGAGGTATGACTAAGAGAATAATGACGTAACCCTACTAATAGTTTTCAAGCGTAGTCTGTGGGCAGTCGTCTAAAATTCATTCAGAAAAAGCCAATCATTTAGAGTAGAGATTTTTCAAATTTTTCTATTACCAATTCATTGGATGAAAGTTTTGCATTTGAACAAGGGTCAAATGGCATTTTATTTTCTGTTTCCGTTCTTTTATTATCTGTTGTAGTTACTGAGATATTCACTATTCTGTACCATCTCTCTTCGGTGCCATATATGAGTCCGTCGTATAAGTTTATATTTCAAATGTAACTTGCTCTTTTTGGTATTTCTTTATTTCTTCACTATTTTCGGTCTTGCATTAGCATAAGCTAGCCTTTCTTTGCAACAACCGTGCTTGCAAAAATAAAAATTCAGTTCAGTTCAGTTCAGTTCTACAATACAGAGGGCGTTCTTCATAGTGTTCAATGAATATCTCAGTAACTATACAGATCATAAAAAAAAAAGCGAAATAGAAAATAAAATCCCATTTGATCCTTGTTCAAATGCAAAACTTTCATCCAATGAGTTAGTAACCGACAAAAATTGGAAAAGCCCGTATATATGATACGGATTTTTCCAGTTTTTTCGGTTGCTAACTATATAAAAATCATTTATAAGTGATTCTTATTTTTTATATATTATGGTATTTTGGTTGGACACTTCCAATAAACATATTTTGATCTAAAAATATGTTATCACAGCTGTCTAGTGGTGAAATGTACCGGATACAGTGGTCGTATGCCCTTAAATGTGCGACCACGTGACATTTATTGCTAACTTAGAAATAAAAAACGTCGTATTCCAAAGGAACGTAGAAAAAGATTAAGAGTTTTCAAAATACGCTTGAATATGCGGAAACAAAGTGGATGTACGTTAGTTAAACGTACAACTTAAGTGTAATAGTAGTTACATGTACAACAGATAGAGCCATTGTTGTTTAAAATAAGTGGGAAATACTAATTAACAAATGGCTAATAACCTGCTGCTGTTTAAACAGGCAGTATCTTTATAACTTTAAAAGATATGACAATCAGTTTTCTTTTTTTTTTCTGTATACAATCAAGCAGCAGTCGACACTGCTCAAAAATTTTCAATGAATAACTTATTATTTGTGTTTTGAATGCTCCTTATCTTTTTTTCAGTTATTATATTCTGATCGTGTCTCTGTGGACCATCACCATTAGGTCAAGATCTCAAGAACCATCGTAACCAATGATATCGACCGTACTCGGTATAATCGATTTTTCAGACAGCAAATGTCTCATTCAGCGTTGACAACAGATAGATGGATTTTCGGCAAATATGATGAAGTGTAGCTTAGATAAAAATATAGAAAGATTGTGTTAAAATAAATTAGTTACGTCATATTATAAATAACGCTAGCTGCTGATGTTGTAGCAATTACAACATATTTCTTCAACTCATCTAAAAATTGAAGATAAATATTGACTGTTAAAGTCCTTTTATGTAATTCAAGTAACTCTGCTCGCAATGCGTGATACGTTGTATCACTGTTTACATTAGAACTATTGTACATTTTATGAAGACAAATCCCATACATCGTGGTATCACTGACTCCAATTTCATATCATTTAAAAAATCGAACACATTTTCTTTTGTTCATAGTTCTACGTGTGTTTTTAAACGATATTCTGATTTCCTTTAATTATTCATTCTAGAAAAGACGAAAAAGAGAAATTTCAATCAATCTTATTGGTCTACAATAATATTGTGTACAACAAACACAAAAATTGAATAAGTGAATCTAACAATATTAAGAATGTTGAATTATCTTATAATTCTGTTCGTTTTGTTATACAACTACATAGTGGCGGATCTAGAGAAAATTGCTTGTTATAACTACAATACTAGAGAAAATTTTTGGTGCTGACGGATTTGTACCAAAGAGCAAAACAGTCAATCGATGAAAAGTTCTATGCACTCGGCACGTAGCACAAGAAAGAGAGTATAATAGTGTGAAATCAAAAATTTCGATGTTGGCGATCATCCGCATGGTAAATCTGCCACTGCAACTATATAAAGTTTCAATAATAATACTAAATCTGAAGCATTTAATTTCTTACCGGTTATTGCAGTATCATTAGTGAATTGACTAATGGATTCGATGAAAGGGTTATTGATTGAAAGTGCTTTAAATATTTTAGCGTTCGTTTTATTAACTTACATCAATCAAAATTAGAAATAAAGCACTAACGTCCGAAAAAATATGTTTTATCTTCATTAAAAGATTGATTCGCATTTCATTTTGTGAATAGATGCGTTAATATATTATGGAATAAAATAAACAGTTTATAAGATAATATAGATCAATCACAAAATATGATATAGTTATCAGTATCAGATAAATTAAGTATTTTATGTATACGTTCACTATTATGGGTGTTTTGAACAATATCATCAAAAAAATGTTTTAATTCTTGTGTTGTAATAGATTCTGCTCATTCATTTAATTTTATTACAACAAGGAGTAATCACAATTAATGCAGATATAGTATAAACAAAAACATACGTATGTTTGTGAAAAGTAATCTGTCGAGAGCTCTTTTCGTTTTTTGTATGAACTTTATTTCTACGACAGAAAGAAAAAAAAGAAATTGAGACAGTTTTTTTTTGTTCTTTTTCTACTTTAACCTAACTTGATAAAATGTTCAAAACGTACGCTGTTTATTCCGTGTTAATACATGCTGAATGTTTAAAACTGCTTACAGAAACGAACAAATACCTGGATGACCATAAAACTATTGGGATAAAGAAATAGATACATCGTCAAGAGAACATGTTTTTTTCAGTTCATTTCCCTCTAAAAAAGCTTTTTTTTTTTAATAAAATGGAAATGTATTTTTTTTATTTAAGAAAAATCATGTAAACGTTTCGGTTTTCATATAAAAAAAGCTAAAAAGAGTGTTTTACTAGAGACAATACTTCAGGATTTTCTAAAATACGTTTTACAACCGTTTTTCACTTCCACCGAAAAACCGAATTTTAATGTGTAAAAAAACGTTTGACCATTTATTTTCGTGAGAAATCAAAATAGGTTTTCAAAAAAGATTTTGTCAAGAGCATTTCTGAAACTAAATGTATAGTATTCATAAAGATAAACTGTAGGATTTTTTTCTTTATGATATAAAACTGAACGGTTTCGAGAAAAAACATATCTGTTTTTGTGTTTTTGTTTAGACGGTTTTCTTGTGTTTATAAATGATCTTTCATAATCATGCTTAGTCATAGATATTGCAGAACACTACAGTTTTTTGATAAAGAGGGCGGTTTTGGGGGAAATATCAACAAAATTTTAAAAAAAGATCTATTTATAGTACTTTTAGTCAAATACCCAGGTACGCACTTCTTCACCAGTCCACTCAGTTACATGGTGTGAAAGGTGCGAACTTCTGGCTATATACATCCGATAACACTACTACATGTATGTTAAAAGCCTCAGTCGTCCCTGAAAACGTTATTTCGAGACATAGGTTTTCCCTGTTCATAAGCTGTGAATTTTAGCATTTATAAGAACTTTTTAACCGAATGTATAGAAATTACTAAAAGCATTGGAGCATTCTCGTCTCAGTAACTGACGAAAGTTACAAACTGTCCACCAAAAACCTTAATTTTATCCGTAAAACGCGTGAAATAATGAGAAACACCGTGGAGCCGAGAAGTAAACGGATGGCCAAGCGGATATTTTTTAGAAAGTGAACCTCCACATAGGGGCCAGCCAGAGAAAATGAAAAGGGTTGTGCAGTTCATCGTTCGAACGAGCAACAAATATGAAGATTTTGGAATTCCAGCATTCTCTCGCTATGTTGCGTATAGAGCAGATAATTCGAAAATCTTGATTTGGTGACTTTAGATCGGTTTGAGACTAAAAATAAACATCACTACTCAACTCAGCGTGGTCGATGATCCCTATCTTGATCCATGTTAGGATGGTCCAAGGACAACTGGCCGAAATCGGGGCTCTCTGAAAAATGCTTGTAGCTCGTGAACGGAATAAGCTAGCGAGCCCGGTCTTGCGTGATTTTATAGAGGACAGTTTGGCCTGTCAATTCATTGTAGAAACGTAAAAATCTATTTTTGGATGCCATAATGGCAACTTGGTTTCACAGAAATTCTCTGGAAAATTTTTTGATTTTAATAGGTTTTACACTATCAGATGCCCCCAGCTCTTCTCTTTCCAGCAGTGAAAACCGCAGGTCCCTATCTCTTATCATTCTTGAGTTATTCAAAAAAATGGTCACACGCACGGATTTTTTTAATGAACAGTAGTCATTTTTATATTCTATTTTTTACTACTGCTTACATTTTTTATTTAAGCTATTCATTTATGTATATGTTTTCTCGATATAAATTAACTACAGTGATCTATTTGTTGCTTTTGTTTTGTTCTTTTTAGTTAGAAGATATTTTTGTGGGAAGTCTATCTTTAGTACAAGTCTCTTTAAATAGTTCTATAAAAAATTTTCGATAACAGTGTGAAGCGCTTCATAAATCGTAGCACTCTGAGTATTTAAAAGTGTTAAAGCGATCTAAGTTAAGTTAGGAGTTCTACTTTTGTTTAGTATAAAACTTTTCGCTTAATCTGTTATTTTTTAATGCTACCGTTTTTCTACTGCTGAGTTTATTATTAATGAGTTTAAAGAAATACTTGAGTAGAAATTTTTATTGATTGAACCGGCTTATGTAGTATAATTGAATGAAAAAACCTTTATTTTTCTCGTTGCGTATCAAAGTTTTCTTAACTACAACATTTTTGCTGTGACTTTCCCACGGATTTCGTGTGACTTTTTTTGGCAGTGCGTCGTTTGATTTTCTATCGAATGTTTCTCTTGCTATAACAGTTTTACCGTAGAGAATATACCATACGAATGCGAAAAATTTTAATACTGAAAACTCTCAAAATCTGCATATAAAGAAAGAACAGTCCACATGTTTCTCAAACATTCTGATAACACTATCGACCACAACCAGCGAGAAAATTTCTAGAGGACATTCTCGTCTTACCAAAAATTTGTATTCAAACAGTACGTTTGGCTTGCAATCGTACCAATTATATTCGAATCATTGCTGAATATATCGAATCTGGTGTGAACTAGAGATGCCGCGATCATTTTCATGCTGAAAATCACATTCTCTTTTTTCCGCGCGAGCTCCTCTTTAAAAAAAATTCTCGAATCAAAAAGAATTTTTCTTTTTCAGAATGTCACAATCATTAGCCAGTTTTAGCAGGAGCTTTTCTGACGAGTCTGAAAATATTTTTTTAATCTATTTAAAATGTAAACAATTTCGTGATTAAATTAAAGAAAAGGAATAAACTAGGCTATACTTCTTTTGAATAGTTGAAGTAGATTAACTACCTAGTCTACTTCCTAAGAGATGCACTTCACAACATCTCAATAATGATAGTTGATTTCAAACTTGTCTAATAGCCCCACGGTGGGCCTTGTTGAAATGGAGGTGCCCACGGATTGTAGTACATTTGCTGTTGCTGCTGCTGCATAAACATTGGATCTGGCAACGCTCGTCCATTTGGCATGATAACGGGTGGCACCAAGTTTGCTCCACTACCGTTACGCATAAGATTTGCAATTTCATCGCGTTTACGTCGACGATGTTTTGGAACACGTTCGGGTGATCCCGGACGGCGAAGAAACACCGGCGAGCCCGCTCGTGCTTGATAAAAATGGTCTGGAGATGCGGGACGCTGTTGAAAATGCACTGGAGAACCACGCCTGTGACGGTAAACTTGTTGTGGAGAGCCAGCACGCATATGTTGAAAATGCTCAGGTGAAGCTCGTCTTTCTCTTCCTCTCTCGCCTAAAAAGTGGAATGGTGATCCAACACGTACATTTCTTGGCGGCAGAAGCTCTGGTGGAGCAGCGTTAACGGCCGGATCTTGCTGATACGTCCAGTCCCATTCATCAGTGGCTCCCATCATTTGTCGGTCGTCGAAACCATCACTTGGATAGTATACACCTGGATTTCCATCAGGATATAGATCCTCCGGTCGAGGATAATAAACCTCTGCTGCAGCAGCTTCACCCGCCCATTGATAAACTACCGGCGGTGTTGGATCTCCAGTTCCAAACTTTTTACGTTTGCGAAATACACGCATGTCGTTGTGGTGGGTTGCCTATACGATTTTATGAAAAACCATTTGTGTTTGTTGTTTTGGTTGATAATCGATGAAGCGCAAACAGCACGATTTGTTTTCTTTACAAAATAAGGCGTTATCTAACAAAGGCACTTTGTAGTAACCATTTGATATGGTCATGATGAGTCAGATGCGAAATTTCTTTCGAAGGTTTATTATACGGATATTGTATCTCATTCTTAGTAATTCTTTTTTAAGCGTCATGATGTTACTCATGTCAAATTAAGAGGATATCTTGATTAAAATGAGTGAATCTTGTTTGTTGATAGTGACGATATTTACAATCTGCTTGTAATCACGAAGATGATTATGATTAGTATCAATATAAAAGCTTGAAAACTCGTAATAACTTGTTCAAGATTTATTTGTGTTAATCATTTCAGGCATAAATTAACTAAGTAATAATTTTCGGCATTTCATGATCAATGTACCGTTACTGACATCATCGTGTATCTGGATATATCCTAGTTCTATTGATCGGGAATAAAACCGCGTGTACAGTAATAAATAGCTTAGCGCGATTATAACAAATGCGTGAAAGGGTATTTTTGCTAGTGATGGTTGTGATATTGTCTTTCGTACAAAAAAACCCAAATTTCAAGTAACACTTCTTTCGTTTTGATTATGAAATGAAAGTAGCGGTTAGAAATTTATGTATTAATAGACAATGACATTGTAGACATATGTTCACACAAAACTAAAATTCTAATTTTACTATGCAAATTTGAGATTTGTGAGTATATACGAACTTCCATAAGTGATATTTCTTCTCATTTCATTGCATTCTGCTTTTCTGGCACTCTCTCGGCTAAAGCGCCTCCTGGATGCTTCTAATATATCTCAGAGTCTTTAATCTCAAAATTATTTTGTAAAATTCAGTTTGCAGAAAAATACATATTTTACCAAGAGCTTTGTCTAACGGATTTTAACGCTGCTTGAATTCGGAAAGTGCCTGAAACAAAACATCAACAAATCATGTTTTATTAGATAATTTTAAGTTTCTCTGGTTGACACTCAAATTTGCGTAGTTAAACTTCGAGATATGAAGACGTTTCGATTCTAATTTTGCTCAGGCAAACTTAAACGAATTGTAACCATTTATCTTCAAATGCGAACTACTGAACTATATTTATTGTATATATTTTTCTCCTTATATTAGTCTCTTACTAACAACTAGTTTGTTCTGTTTTTACTGTATTCGCGTGTTTCCTTCTTTCCCATTGTAGAATACTTTTTCTCCATCAAGCTGTCAATTGTTTTTGTTTGTGATTTCTAATTTATATCTGTTCTTTTTCCATTTATAAGCTCATATGAAATGGGCATACAGGCAAGACATTTTTAAACCTTGTGCGTTTTCGTGTTTTCGATTTTTGCGTTTTTAAGGATGTGACTATTTAGAACGCACTATGGTTTCGAATGAAATAAAACTAACTTACTCTTATATGGTCAACAAAATTAAAGTTTATAATCTTTATTTAAAATCAAGTTTATAATCTTTTCTTGCTTAATCAAAAATGGTTAAGATGATTAATTATAAACTTTGTGCTAACCGGTGAGTGAAAGTTACTTAGATATTAGTTAAAGTAAAGCGCCCGTAACTCGACGTTTCCGTAATGTTTTCATTTTGAAATATGTATACATGGTTGGATAAAGGACACCCAGTTGAGTAAGAAAAAGTTACTATTAATTATAGAAAAAATATTTTTAAGAATAAAAACTTTGAAAAATTGTAAAGG